TTGTCATGCATCCCAAAGACCTTAAAAAAAATAAAAGAGCACATCCATCCAATAAACATTTTGAATTTAAACTTCACTTCATTGAAACAAATATTTACGATAAAATGGTAACGGTTATCAAATTAGTTTAACAGGCCGTTTTTAGCTAATTCTCGACACTTCCCAAAATGTTTATTCAACTTTTAAACGCAGCTCGCTGGGTGGATATTGTACGAAATTGCACAAGACGTATATCAAAATTTAAGTTAGACAACACTGAATGCAATGCACGTATCTTAGGTGTAATGGCTCTTTTAGTTTTTAAGTTATAGTAAATCAAACAGGTTAACTTTCTTTTGCGCCACCAGGTATATATATATATATGTATATATATATATATATATATATATATATATATATATATATATATATATATATATATATATATATATATATATATATATATATATATATATATATAAATATATATAATTAGGTTTCGTTGTTTACAAAAACATTTGGCAGAGTGCTCAATGGATATCCAGAGCATAATTAAATAAGTGCAACGACTCAACAAATTCCACTAGGCATCTTTATTACTGTGGCACTCATCAGATAAATTAGATAAAATATATATATATATATATATATATATATATATATATATATATATATATATATATGATAATAAACAATTTGTCAAGTGTCATTTATTTACTGGTAATAGTGCATGTTTCAGTCGGGTAAATCTTGATTAATATTTGATACGCCGTTTTTTGCATATTTCAGACACATCCAGAAACATGCTCCCGATTTTAAAGATTAATATCTCCGTGAATTTTTAAGTGAAATACAACTGTAATATATCAAAATCTAAGTTAGTCCTTCCTCTATTTAATGCAAGTAATTTCTCTAAAAAAGCTTTACTTGTTTAGAAGTTATTTCGAATCAAACAGGAGTACTTTTTTTTGGGACACCTGGTATATGTATATATATTTATAAAATAACTTTTTAATAACGCCTGCGCTGATTGGTTGAAAAGCAAAAAATCCCGTGTAGAAATAACGCTATAGAACACGGGAATTTTCCACGAACTCCAAAACAACACACTAAAACAAACGTTCTCGCCTGAACTGATCCATTAAAAATCTTCGTCAACCTGAAATTTTGCTAAACAAACCAACGGAGAACACTTACGAAACGTTTTTTCGCCTTAAATTTTCTTTAAATCAACTTTTTCAGCCTGTTTTTTCCCATAATTTTGCAGTCGGCAAAACTGAAAGTTGATGGCGGTATTGTTGCTGGGCAACTTTGTCTTGTTATTGTTTAATGAGAATATACTTTTTAATCGCGTTAAAAATATTGTTTTTCTTTTATTATCACAAGATTATTTAATGAAGGAAATAGAAAACATTTTTTCCTGTGTTTCTATAGAGTGATAGAAACACTTTTATATAATAACTACAGTGAAACACGCAATTTGATTGGTCAACAGCCGTGCAGGATCAGACAATCCTGCACGGGAAATTCTGAACAGAAATTCTTGGACATAATTTTACAAATATACTCGCATTGTAAAGTTTCATTGTACGATACCTTTTGACTTTGAAGTAAGTTTCCAATTATTGAGACGTTGGTTTAGTTGTATGAATAAATTTCTGATCGATACATTGCTATTCAGCAAGTAGCAAACCATGCATGTATTAAGTACAACATCTCTCGCTTCAAAGTTGATCAAACGCTTCGCAATCTTCACATATTCAGGTCGAGAATCTTCAAAACTGCTTTGGCTCTCTGTTTAGCGGGTTTTCCATTTCAAATTTCGTATATTTTATCGAAAAAGTCCCTGTATTTTCGCGAATTTGCGATCAAATTCTGTTCACGTATGTTGTTTTCAATAGCATGGAGTAGCGATTCTCTGATTGGTTAATTCACGAATGTTGTGAGAACTGCACATTTCATCAGTAATTTTAATCACGTTAAGCGTCGTTTCACTGTAGTAATTTTATAAAACAATTACCAAATGGTTTCCTGTGCAGGATAGCATGATCCATGCACTTGGGATGTTGCTCGACTTTCGGAAACGGTAAAAATACACTCGCCTACGGCTCATGTATTTTGACGCTTTCCGAAAGTCTCGCAACATCCCGCGTGCATGGATCACGCAATCCTGCACGGAAAACCATTCGGTATTCCTTTAGTGCTAGTTTGGGGTTCCCACTGATTATTTCTCGTCCTCCCAAACTAACACGCGTGTTTCTATAACTCTATAGAAACACGAAAATTTGTTTCTATTTTTGAAATAGCTCACTGCAGTTGTGTAGTCGAAAATGACGTCAAAACTTTCGTCTGCATGTGACGTCAGAGTATATATAGATTCAAGAGAAATAAATACTTTAAATTTGTTACTCATCAAATTACAGCATGTTTAAGCCATTTTCAATCGCAAACATATTTCAACTTTATGTTGTGAAAAAACTGTTCAAAAAAATTTAACGGATGCCCATTATCATTAAAAGTCTATTTAACGTTGCAAAATGCATTCCGGATAAATATCACAGTAGTTAATTGTGCGTCAGCCATAAAACTTTCCCTTTTACACGGTCAAACGATGTCACTTGAAGTATATGACTGCGTGGTCTGATCGGAAAATTTTGATCAAATAGGGGAGAGCCATTTGGACCAATATGACACAGTGCATCGAAAGCTCCCCAATATACTTAGCGCGTATCCTAAATTCTGACCATACCTCACAGTATCTGTTCACTTATCGCACATGTTCTTGCAGGAAATTTTTTCGTCCACAGAGCAGCCGCAGACGCCAGTACAGAACAACTTTGCTTTTTTGCTGCTACAGCGTATAAATGTCGTGCAGTCACTTTTACAAGAGCAGGATATAATTTCCTTGCATGCGTTTGGAATGGGTTCCTTTGCATAAGGAGGGGACGAGTTTACTGCCACCTTCGCTTTCTCTCTCCCATCCCATTCCGTCCGGGTTTGGCAGGATAGGTTACTGGCATGGAGCTTGTTTCCACACGAGTGATTGATAGTGCACGCGCTTGATATGCAATTCCAGCGCTTCAGGTTTTTCTCTCTTCAAAAAGAGAATAACTCGCGCATCATTCACTGATTCCATGTCCCGCAGTTGTAAATCGCGCAGATGAACTTTTTGGCATCCCTGACCTTGTTTACCGATACTTCTCCTTCACCTAGCGACGCTAGAAGGTGATGTTTGTCTTGAAACGTCTTCCACGATAACAATTTGGAGTGGTTGGAGATATATGACGTTGTGTTGCAACCAGTCAGCGCATGGAAAGGGAGGAGCGCTGATAGTGATCCTGCGGAAAGATTCTCGCTTATCGCCCTGATGTTAAAGAACTTGCGCCTGTGCCTGCTTTGATTGAACTCTTCTCGTATCTGTCGAATAGTACGTGAATTTGCTGACACCGCGAACCTGCTCTCAATACTTCTATCTCCTAGGCCCTGAAGGTTTGAGCGTCGGCAGGTTTTCTCACTGCTGCTACCAACGTCATGCCGTCAATCAATCAACATGCACTTCCTTGCAAATCAATAGCCAGTTCTAAGTTTACCATTTGTATCTGCTAATGATATGGGTACGGACATTAGTTCATGCGACAAAACATTATGTAAATCTACTTCTCGACCAGCTCCGTAAGCAACGATAAGACCATCGTTGTCAACCCGTAAAATTGTGTTGTTTTCTTTCTCTTAATTTGCCTCCTTTGGCGACTTGATACAACGAATCGAAAGTAAGAGCATTGTTCTTGTGCATTGTATCCGTAAATTGAACCTGGTATCCCCTTGCTCGTTATTAGGTTGCTGTTGAAGTGGTTCAGTCAACCTTTGCTGTACAAAGTTTTTAACTTGTTTCTGTCCCATATCTTTCGCGCCTAACAGCGATTCCTGAATCTTGACGGTGCCGAAATTTTTCGGAGCATGCTAAAAGACATTCTGGATGCTATGTTGGTGAAAATACGTGATGTTGCTCGAAGACGGCAATGAGTGATTCTTCATCCTTATTTTCGCGAATAATCCTTCCAGGCGCAGATTCGTTGTGAGAATACGTATCCTCTTGAACTTGGCCAAACATCTCATGAGTTTTCTCAGCAACCTCCGACCGCAAATTATAAGACGGAGCCCACCTTGGATTTCGTTTTTGACACTTTATTAAAGAGTGCACACGTGAGTATCGATCTCAAACCGGTTTTGTACTACACAAATAGCCAGTTATCCAAATCAGTAACTGGCCGATTAAGGCTGCATGTTTGCGCCCGATTTAGGATTATTTGGACCTTTATTTCAAAATGGAACTAAAAATAAATTGTATTAACATTCTGCTTTGACGACAAAAGACGCGAAATCTGCAATGCAAGATCAACGTTGATCGTTATGCAAAACATTAGTAACAGCGGGACCAACAGGCGCCATAGGGCTTGCAGTGTTATCTTATGCGCGCGCATTGCTCTCTTATACGCCTTGCCGTTCATCACAGTCTCAGCCACTTTTGGTCCTAGGAGACCACTCTCTGTCCACGAGTCAACATGGCCTGATCCCTTCATATGATCTCCAATGGCCTTATAAGAAAACACATAGATATATGGAGACCGCCGAGTTGCACGACAAGTTTCTCTCGATATTCTGGAATTGCCCATTTCAAGTCGACTAATTTGCAGTGCAGTGCCTGATCTACGGTGATAATCAGAGTGTACTGTTGCCCAAGCACGCTGGCCACATGCATGCATTTCCTAACGACCGTGTTCAAGGTATCCATTTCGTGCGCGGGTGCTTGTACGATTGGCATGTACCCTACTTTGTTATTTCATGCCCGAACTTGTCGCCAACTTCTCTTTGTGATAGTGATAGTGATAGCTTCACTTCGTAACATATTGAATGCCAAATCAGTAGCTTTGGCAGCATGTTTACATTCTTTCTTATCTTCAGCTTTGTAATACCACGTCGTCTTAACTGCTTTAAATTAATAAAGACATGATTGCTTTTTCTTACCACAATCGTTTCTCCCGCACATCAGCACGTATCATCAACACAACATGAACAAGAGAGTGGAGATTGTCTTGTTGGTAATAAACATGCAGAGTTGGTTCATCGTCTTCTTTGTCAGCCGTACCCTGGGCTACTAACTGGGACAGAACCATTTTAGCGCACTTTTTGGGAATTAGCAAGGTGTGACACTCAGACAGCCGCCTTTCAATTGATTGCACGCACTCTATAATGTCTCCAACCATATGCATAAGTTTGTCCTTAAAAGTCGCCTTTCGACTGATAAAAGAAGAAGGAAGCGTGTTGGCGTCTTTTTCGGCTAATATAGTGTATCTTTCCCATGCGTCATCAAGTCTACTAACATGGCCCTTGTCAGCAGCATACTCCAATTCTTTGGACAACCAAACCAATGCTAAGTCATTGTCTTTCATTTCACTCTTTGTCTTATCCCTTAATCGTTTAGATGCACTGAAGCATTTGAAATGGTACTTGGCTTCAGCGGCTATCAAATCTGAGATACCCGCAAGTCGAGTGCACAGTATTTTGTCAAACTTAGAAATCTCAATAATTTGGTCACTCATTTTAAATGTCATAACTGACGATAAGCGCTCATTGGTGTGAACCTGACAGAAAGCACATTTATTTCAATCAACTTGTTCTGTTTGCGCACGCGTTTTACACGGACTTGAGGCTGGTCTTGCAGACGCATCATCTTTGTTGCACTTTTTCTCCAGGCGCTGAATTTTGTAAATAGGGAATATCATTTGACATGCCAAACGATTGAAGTATGAATACAATTTATGACTTCTTCCAGCCTACTGATTGTTTCCCTGTTCCCAACATCACTAAACTTGCTCCGCAAATTCATGGCATCGCGAACTACCGTTCTGCTTTAATCAGTAGCAGAACTGAAATGTTGATCTTTAAGACGGGTCTGGCAGAAAAGACAAGCATTTACGTCGATTTGTGACGATCTTTTTAACTTCAAAACGGAATCTATCTTTGCAGCTCGAAAGTTGAAGACCACAAGATCCACAGCACACAATAACAGCAAAACTTAACCAATTTTCCCCATGCAATTAAGAAAACAGACTTCGAAAATTTATATTGTCCTCTAAACGGTGAAATATCCTCTAAACGGTGAAGTATATTAAATCAAGAAGAAAATGCAAAGCCTTTTAATACATTTTACAAATCAGAAAGGCGCCGCCAAGACGGCACCAACATCTAGTCTATACTAATCCATTCTCTACACTTCAGACGCTTGTTTGTCTTGGTTGTAATTTTTTAAAATATTTTTTCCAAAAATTATTTTCAGTTCTGTTTTCAAATAATTATACTTATGCCACGATCGCCAGAAGTTGAAAAAACTAAAAAATATAATTAAGTTTCACCAGCTTTCATTTCTCGCCGTAAAATTAAAGTCGGCTTTTACTCAAATTATTTAATTTGTTTATTTAATCAGCTATTTCGTGTTATTCGTAAACTTTATGCTTATTTCTGTTCTATTAGCTTTTTAAACAACTCACAAGGAGAAAATAACGTTTGAAATTTTGAAATAGAAACGAACAAGTAAGAGAGCGTCATTTCTAGTGTCAGTCGCATGACGTCATTAATATGACGTTGTTATCTTGATCCAAACGCAAAATCAGAGTTGGCGACCATGAAATTCGGATTCAGCGCTAAAAACTTTTACTAAGAATTGCCTCATGCACTTTAAATAATCGACTTCTTGAACTTTTCGCCTAGTCTTTTATCCTGAATGACGTTGTGTTTCTCGGGTGAAAAGAATCATGAACGTTGCAGGGGAGGGATTGTTAAAGGGGAAGTTTACCTAAATTTATTCGAAGTAGAAGGAACAGGGGGCTTGATATCATCCCTCGGAAATATTTCAGATATTCCATTCCCTATGATAGGATTTTCGACATTTTCTGACAAGGTTTGTTTTAAGAAAAATTTAGAACTGCACACATAGGGATGTTACGAAGGCAACGGGTGTTAAATTTGACTGGATGGGGGAG